TTCTTTGGAGAGGAAAGCCCGTTTGGCCCAGAGACGCCTAGGGCCAAAGTGCATAGGATGGACCAAATACCTGCAGGAGACTACAAGATACTTGGATATGCGATCCCCAGAGACTTGGATGCCAACTGGTTGGCAAGAGGACACCGCGTAGTATTGCGAAGGAATAGAGAAACTTCTGTAGCATGGGCCACAGAAGCCCTATTGGAAGCGTGCGCGGCTGGAAAGTTCGAAGCCAACGGCAACATACGCACTGCCATACCAGGAGAAGAAATATTGGTGGAGTGGCAGAACAACATAGCCACTGTCTTCGTGCCCGAAGGACCTGGTTTGGATACGTACTACGAATTGGCTAGGAAAGTAGAATATCCCAAACACCCGGAAAGACTACTAGAAGTGCCGGCGCCACCCAACAAAGAATGCGTGCAGGCGCTACATATGCATCCAGGCGAATACCAATGCTGGAAATACGCCAAAACCACCTACAGAAAAAAAGAAAGGACAATCCTATTCCTTTCCGAAAAATGCTCGGAATGCGTTTTGGAGGGCTGTACGGTGGGGCACGCCACTACTCCGGTCTGGGGACACTTTCTGGAGGAGCAGAAAATAGACTGGACGTCTCCACCACCGCTATACTGCAAAATAGGTAGGGAAAAGACTACCAAGGCAAAGAAGAAAGACAGACTGGTGCACGTCTCTACTCCGGAATCCTAGGCCTGCAAAGGGCGTTCGCCTCTACTCCACCTCCGGAATCCTAGAATTTCTCTGCGGTTTCGTATCCTCCGCTGGATGTCTGTAGTAGACAACTTTGGGTGGTTGCATGCGCGCCCAAACGACAGCAGCCACGCCCACTAGCGCAAATAGTACATTGCCGGCTATTTGCCAGTATATTTTCGTGGATACCTCCTCTACTTCGTTCTCTATTTCTTCCACGTCTATTTTCTCGAACGAATCTTCTTCCTCTTTTTGCTCCATCCTGGCTAGCAATTCCTCCTTTGCGTCTCGGAGTTCTTCTCTAGCTTTCTGCAAATCGTCCAGGACTATAGCAAAGGAATCCTGYACTTCTAGGAAATGTTTCTGCAGGTCTGTAGTTGGTGGCTTTTCGGGAATTGCTACCTCCAAACCATTTTCCCGCTCTATCCTGCGTATCTTTGGTATTCCTATGCCGTACTTTTTGGCTACTTTCTGCAGCCCCATACCGTTCTTTCGATCTTCCAACAATCCTGCGATTTCTTCCTCGGATAGTATTTTGGGTGTTGCCATATATATCTAGGAATACGGGTTTGGATATGGGTATTCCATGGACAAACACTATGGATCCATAGGGGTATTCCGTGGGTCCATAGGTATATAGATGTATCTCTACATAGCTCTAGGTATAGCTAGCTACATGCTAGGTAAACAAAGAACGACACAAATACTTCTGGAGATCTTGGAAGGTCTCTACAAAGCACAAAAGACTTTGCAGGGAATTCGCATACCGGGCTACGTAGCCACTTTGGCGCAACTACCGCGACGTAGATAGAGGGTGTCGATCTGGTGGACACCCTTGCTACGTCGGGGAAAGTACAAAAGCCTTGTTTCGCAGCCCCAATACAGTGCTCTTCGCAAATGGGAGGTGTTTCGCACCACGGACATTCCTGGTGCTTGCTACCAAAACAGTGGACACAAAAAAATACTACTTTGTGCAAAAATGTGTCTACGAGAGTAGAAAAGGTAGCCGAAAATGGTTGCCGAAACGATGGGTAAAAATATACTCTTCTAATCGTCTCATCTGTATCTCCCTCCATAAACGTTGTGAAGGCAAAGTCCGCATCCAGGCGATCCAACACCTGAGTCCTGAGCTTGC